CACGGTATATCATAGTTGTTGCATCCTTTTTGGAAAATGGATTATTGCGAAGGATGGATTGCTTGTTGTCGTAAAGACTCACGTGACTCCTTAAGTCGCCAGTGCCAGTGCAGTTTTACTGTTTGTAATTGGTGCCCCTCTCCCTACTTCGCTCTCCATTGTACGGTTTGGGTTTCATTGAGGATGATGTGGGGGTCGTGTGGAGGAGGCAGTGGTGTCCCTGAATTCACAACATAACTTTCGACCATTTTAAAGCGGTCCAACGCTTAGTAATGGAACGCGGTTGGTCGTCGATATGAGATGCTTCCTTTCCGTGCGATTGAGTTGATCGAGTCGTGAAGTCGTGAGTCATTGTCGGGAAATCAGAAGTCAGAACTACCTTGTACATGGGCTTTCGCCAGGCCACATGTCATAGCACTGCTCGTGTAGCGCTGCAGCGTCAAGAATGCGCTGCTTCAAGCTATTGTTGAGGTATGCAGCTCTGCACACGTACATTCTTTTCAGATCAGCAACAGATAAGCTGCAAACGCTGGTGTTCTCAGCGACTTTGACGTATGTTCATCATGATCAGTCCCGAGTTGGATCGACGAAAAAGGAGCTGACACCACAGCAAAAAATAAGTCAGTACATTAGTTCAATTAGTGCAGGCTTCATATTTCTGTTGCCCTTGAAGAGCTCAACATCTTCGAAGTTTAAGATGCTCTGGCCTCTCACAGTATCGCTTATTTCGTGGTCGTTTCAAACAACTGGGTAGTCTTGATCGCTGCGGATGGTGGGCAGTGAGGCGGGTTTATCGCGCCGTCAGCCCGTTTTCTACCGGTTGGCGAAGCTGGTAAGCAACAACAATTGGTGAAAAACGACTCATACGAAGATACACCTTGCCGTTTCCCGAAAAAAAATCGAGGTGGCGTCGCACCAAACCACGCCTCATCATGTGCAGCGAGAAAACTCGGCCGTTTGACCATTGCTAAACGGCAAGCAAGTAGATATGGTGAGCGGAAGACCAAACGTAGGTCTTCGTCCCACTGTTGTGAAGTTGGGTCCTGGTGCGGATACTGTGCGCCTCACCTCGCTTGCAACAACTATTTCGTTACGTCTTGGAAGTAACGCTCCACACCACGTTCGACCCTACCGGCTCTGTAGTGAAGAAAATCCTGTTAATTTCCAAGGGATCGGAAAGCGCTTATTACTTTGTAGTTTGTTTTTCTGTATCCATTTGCAGTTTACAGAGAAAGTAGATGGTTACCAACTTTGAAAATAAAAAACGTTTCTGATTTCGCGCAGCAATTTATACGAGATTATTCTTTTTTTGGTACCTTAAGGCAAGTGGTTTTTTGAGTGGCTGAGAAGTTAGCAGGTCAAACTTATTTCTGCAATATTTCTTATAGAAGAGCTGATTAAACTTACTGGAATGCGTCCACATTGCAAAGTTGTTGATATTACCCGGGAGTTCGGTACAGCTGAAGCGCTCGTGGAAACAAGGATCAACTGCTCGAATCTCCTAGAGAAAGTATGGACATTTTTGGTTGTTTACTTAGGCCCATAATTCTTTTTGTTTGAAGGATACGACGATAGTGTATCTTTTGGAACGATACAAAGGTCGCACGTTAATTTTCACGAATTCTGTTGATGCTTCACGTCGTATGTACGGAATACTGAAGCTGCTGAAGCTACAACCACTGATGATTCATGCGAAAATGGAGCAAAAAGTTCGGCTGAAGAATTTGGAGAAATTTGCAGGTAACGTTCACTCCACGAATCGACTCAGCCCTCATTTTGTTGATGGAGCCATCCTAGGGACTTACACTAGAGTTTTCAGAAGACTGTAGAGGAGCCAGTTTGGTTTTTTCTTTCTTTTCGTGGAGGGATGGGGGGCAGAAGGTGGAGGCCAGGTCACTTTGCGACGTGACTATACCTCGTTTTGTCTGCTTATCTGTGCCCTCTCGCTGAATAGAAAAGTGGAGATGAGTTCAGCGCGGCGGCAGTCCGTTCTCCAGCAATTAGACAAGCTGGCAGGCGGCAACAGATGGTGGAAAACTGGCTGGCGCTGCACCTAACCGGCTGCCTCCTCCCCCTCATTTACTATCCCTCTACTGAAATTGCAGCGCCACAGTAAGATCGTGTACAAAAGTCCCCCCACACACTTCTGCACGCCACACACACACACACTACTTGTAGACCCATAAATACGAAAACAGGTTATACGTTAGCTCTCCACTGGAAGCTGAACTTGCCCAACATTCTCTTACCTCTATAAATACATTCCACGGTAAGCGGAAACTTATTGCTAGAGTGACTTTCTCATTAGTTTGTTCTTTCTTTTGATGCGTAAGGGCACGCAGTGGGGAAGGCATAATGGCCGCGAGTCCCCGCCCACTCCACAAACGGAATTTTCCTCAATCGATGAGGTTTTCATCTTTCTATAAAATGTACACTTTTTCAGCGGATTCGAGGAGTGTGTTATTAGCGACCGATGTGGCAGCTCGTGGGCTTGATATCCAGGGAATCGATAACGTTATTCACTATCAAGTGCCAAAAACTGCAGAAGTACGTTTACTTATGAATCGCAACTGCAAAAAAAATTCTTAAAAGAAGAAATGCAGTCACTACAGCGTCAAGTATCACACTCAGTGGGCGGTCTATCAGCACCTACCCGACTATTTGTTGATTGTTTTTGCAACGAAGTTTAGGCGTTAGTGTAAGCAACGAAGTTTAGGCGTTAGTGTAATTGGAGAGGGAGAAGGGAGGGGAGGAGTGGAGCGTTAGATCCAAGTCGCGTAGCATCGCGCGCACTAGCAGAGTACTTCTTAACTAGTTGACCAGATGAACAGAAACGTAGGGAGAGGTAGTTGACTTGAGAGACGCAAAGGGGGTCCACGTTCCGCTTCACTGTTACGTTAAGTGGATTGGGTCCTGGTGCGAATGCTGCGTGCGTCACCCGCAAGAGCAAACGCTTTATTAGCCGTCGTCAGCGCGGCCCGGATGTGCAGATCATTTCCTCGCTTATTTCGCTGCACATTGCGCAGCTCAGGAGTAGCGCTCCGCGTTTGTACTTGGGGGCGGGACAACTATAAAAGAACCAGTCTTCACTCCTGGCAGTTATGAAATAAAATATCTAAATGCTTCACAGCTGCTTTTTTCATTCTTAGATGTATATTCATCGATCGGGTCGAACTGCCCGAGCATCACGAAAAGGTCTGTCAGTACTGATCGTGGATTCGAAGGATGCTCACCTGTACCGACGGCTGTGCAAGAATCTTCAATCGAGGTGAGTTATAGAGCGCAGAGAATTTTAAGTCGCCCAAACCTAACATTTCAGAGAGAGACTTACCAGTGTTCCCAGTCGACTGTCCAGAATTGATGAAACGACTGACAACCCGTGTAAAGCTGGCTTCCGCTCTCGACACGCTCGCATATCGGAGTAAGAGAGTGAGCCTTTTGCCCTTTGGAAGATTTATCGGCA